GCTGTGGTAGAAACAGAGATCCTCCTCTGTCCCCTGGGCTTTGAAGGAAAGACATGGGCCAAAGAACTGTGTGGCTTCTTTTCAGTGTGCAAAAATGTCATTGTTAAGTTATTCTTGCATTTTTAGGATATGTTTTTGGAACAAGAAAAACTTGAGGTAGATCTCGTAGGGAGTAGCCATGTAAAGATCGGTCCAGCATCATTGACCTCGGGGTCATGGTTGTGCAGACACACACCCAGCTGAATGTTTTAGGCTGTGGAATTTTATCCCTCTGAAAGCAGTGAGCCTGCTCCTAGGTAGGCATGACTGCAAGATCAGGTCTGTCATCACAGACTGTAAAATCCCAAAGGAAGCTGCTCAGAAATGGGCATCAGGCATCTATCATTTCCTCTTTCTTCCTCCTCTTTTTTCTTCTTACTCACCCCTCCTCTGGTACAAAATTGGAAATGGATGTGTTATTTGTTAAACACTGGGCCCTAAAATAGTAAAAGCAGTGATAATAGCTTTTACTGAAGCCAAACACAGGAAAAAAAAAAAAAGGCTTTGCTGGTCACTGTGGACAGGGCGCGAGCCATCCACTTGTGTGCTGTTTGTCATTACATGTTGTTACCACCCCCGTACAGACTGGAGTCGCTTAACTTTTCCTGTCCCATCACATCTTTGGCTTGATATCAGTGAATCTGTTCCTTAAATATTCAGTATTGCCTTAAACCAGGCCTGTGTCACATTACATAACATTTTCAGTCTTTAAATCAAATGTCTGTGGACCTTGTGTTCATAAACCATGCTGAACTGACAGCAACAGCAATGGGCGAGTCCTGCTTTGGTTGTGGAAAGGATGAAATGCTGGTAGCTACAGCAGCAGCTCTCCATACCCTGTGGTGTGGGGATGGTTTCGTAGTTCCTTTGCTAGCCGGTGTGCAAGGCACAGTGTTTCTCCTCTGGGCTGTGGAGCTGCATTGCTGGATCTCTTCTCCATCTGGATCCAGGGCTGCAAGGCAGTGCCAGCCTGGAGCTTGCCGCCGCCTCTGCTGCCCTCTAGGAGCCTGCCTTCCAGTTGTGCCTTCCCAGCTTTGGCAACAAAAATGTCCTCAAATATACCCCCATGTTGCTATTCGGGTTTTTTTTGTGTGTCTACCCTGCACAATATGGTGTCTTCCTTTCCCTAGCTCTGCCAGCAGAGCAGTTTTTGCGTGGTCTGGTTTGGCTTAAGTTGCTTAAATTGTGGAAGTGTTTATTTGGTTTAAGTTAAAAACAAAATAAAATTGGCAAGGTCTTTTGTCAGGCAGATTGGCTCCCCAGTCTGTTCCTCATATGGGTTGCAGGCTGTGGTACAGGGGCGAGAATGAGTGCAGGAGATCACGAGACAGGCATCCCTGCTGACCCACTTGTGTCGTGACACCACAGCCCTCGGGAGCTGCATCCCTGGAGTTACGAGATTGACTCCACTGCCGGGATTTTTATTTTTTATGGGTTTTTTTGGAAATGATGCACTCAGGAATTTCTTGGCCTTCCAGATGCGCTCAGTTGATACATCTGGGACATGTTTTCAGGGCAAAAAATGTGCAGAAGAGCCAGCAATGGTGTGAGCAGTTAACCTCCCCTTGTAGAGCATTGCTGTAGCTGAACATGGCTCTGAAGAGCAGAAACGGCTAACACAAAGTGATGGAGGGGGCTTCCCTCTTTATAACTGTCCACAAATTCAATGTCACCCTTGATGTTCAGCTATATTGTGGCTTTTACAGCTGGTAAGGAGAGCAAATATAGGTTGGGTTTCCCAGGCGAGTCTTGAGTTGGCTGACTGCTGGAGACCAGACCAATGAGTCCCATCATGGAGCTGTTTTTGTGTTCATGGGCTTTGGAGTGCCCTGGCCAAGATCAAAGAGAATTTCAACTCTTGGTATATTCTTTGGAGGAAAATGGAGAAGCAAAAGCATATTTAGCAAGGAAGAATAGGAGCAGCAAAACGTGATAGGGATTGAAACAACACACGTGCATCTTGAACCAGATGTTGGACAACGCTACATTTTACAGAGTATGCATAAGTACTGCCATACAGTGTGTGCGTGCGCCTGTCAGCTCCCTCATCCCTTCTTGACGTTGATCCTGGTGCACAGATATGCTAAGGCACAGTGTCTGCACTGAAGAATTAGCTCTGTAACTGTAAGCGGATGGAGGAGTGACAGGGCACTAGGGCATGCAGTGGCTTGTCCGAGGTTACACTGTGGAATAAAATAGAGAGCAGCAATTCCCATCCTGCCTCCAGTGCTCTGCCTGTTGGACACCAGGGTCATAATGCAGCTTTCTATGCCTACTTACTGTCCTTTGTGAAGCTCGATGCTTTATAGGTATTGATTATTTAAGCCTTGAGTTGCCTCTGATAGAGGAATGTTCTAATAATTGTTAATGTAGAGATTATTTGAAATGTAACCAGAGATGATGTAGCAAAGGCAAAAGCAAGATCTAAACCAATCAATTTTTGGTACAATGTAATTAAATGAGGCTTAAACATGAAAAGCATTACTTCAGCTTTAATAGCATGGATTGGTTTGGGTTTCTTAGGAAGCAGTTAAGGAAATACAGAATAAAATGGTGAACTCTTGGTCATATTGAAATGGATGGGAGTTTTGCCATTGATTTCAGCGAGGCTCGAGTTCCTCCAGCCTTTCAGTAGCAGCGATGCCGACCTGCCCACCCCGCCTACGTCATTCTTGCAGCTACTTTCCCTTCTTACTCACCGTGAAGCTTCCTCTGGTGCTGGATGTGTCATTGAAGACACGTCGCCCCAGCGCTCGGGGAGGAATGGGGATGAAGTAATTCTGCTGCCTGAATCTGGGCCTAAATTGCATCCTGATTTTTATTCATCTTTCGGTGCAGAAGTCAGAGGTGTTCTCTGGTGCCTGCTGTCTCAATCCACTGAAATAAGACAAGGCATGTGCTTAACTTTAACCACATGCTTTAATGCCTTAGTGGCTTGGGTCTGAAAAGGCTGAATTTACAGCAACTCCTTTTTCTCTGCTTTTGCTATTGTTGTTAAAGCTGGATGTTGCAGCCAGCACTTTTATGCATTTATTTTTTTTCCTTATGGCGAAAAAGAGAGGAATTTACTTTTGCTATCAGCGAGGTTGCTAGCAGTTAAATTGGCCTGTGCTAAGCCTGGTAATGCATGTCTGCTGTGACAGAGTAGGCTGAGTGAAGGGGGTCCCAAACTTCCCTGCTGCTTCTGGTTGCCTGCAGATAATTTTGTGCAGGACTGGGGAGTCGTCTCAGAGGCACATCTGTTTCTGCTGTGGACCTGATGCTGCAAGCTTTCCACATGCACAGCTCCTCGTGGAAATTATGAGCGTGCAGGGCTGCAAGATTGGTCCTATCATGACAATTTCCTGGCAGAGGGAAAAGACAGAAACTATTTTTAAATGAAAGCTTTGAATCAGAGGAATATTGCAGAGTGCAGCAAAAAATTGTGTTAAAACCCTGAAATCATGGACTCGGCAGTTTTCTCATGCCAGCGGTTTTCTTCTGTTCATGGTTTTAAGGCTGTGTTTTTGGAGGACTGGGCTGACCATTTTTGAATGAGATGTTTCTGTTCTCCCCTGGTGCACATTATCACAGCAGCAGCAGTGTTTTCTGTGAGAGTCAGGCTGGAGAGAGCTGATGTGCTGTGATGTGTTCACAGGGGTGGGACTTTGCAAAAAAACCTGTAACTCTGCCTTGCACACAGTCAAAATGGTTCTGTTTTAAGTTTGCCCAGGAGTTTGTTATTCAGCCTTTATTTCTTTTCCTTCAGATTTGGTCTTATGTTCCCACCTCAGTGTACATTTCCAACTTTTCCTTCCAAGTTTGTGCTCAGTGGTCACTTGGGCAAAGCAAATAACAGAAAGCGTGTGACTTCTTAACACTGGAAAATTATGTCCTCTTTTCCCCATCACTTGCTTTTGTATAGCTTGAGAATGACCCAAAGGGCTCTTACTCAGATTTTCATTTAAAACAAACCATCTGATTTGGTCCAAGATCATTATTTCCCCCCAAAGCACTCTCAGAGTGAGTTGAACACGTGAAAACAGGCAGTTTATAACCACAATTGTTTCCCTGCCTTTGATAGAGTGGTCACTAGTCAACAAATGTAAAATTCACTGCCTCAGAGGGAGATGCTTTAGTTAATTAGTTACAATGAGTACTGTGCCAAGAGACTCACTGCTGCTTGCCCGTATATTTGCCTGCTAATCTCACTAGCTGGCTTTGCTGATCCTGGTCTCTGTATTGCGGCTGATTTCCGCATACCCACCCTGTGAGGAAGTGCCCAGAACCACATCAGCACAGGGGGAACGACGAGCATCTTTCTTTTGGGCCATTTTCTGTGCTCTGGAAACCTAAATGGCTGGGTGAACCTACTTCACAGGTTTTAGTCTTCTGCTAACATGTAGTTTTCCAGGCCCAGCCTGGGCTTACAAATTGTAATTTTGGTTGCACATTTCTGATACTGTCTTTTAGCATTTCCCTCCCCCCCCCCCCCCAACTTATTTCTCCACTCGTGTCTATTTGCATGCTCCTGCAGTGCTCTGTGCATTACCTGACTGCCTCCTTCCTCATTGCAAGGGGCTGGATTTCCTTGCCACTCTCTAACCAAGAGCATGCAGCTTTTGGTGCCACTTCTGCTGTGGGTTTGGAGGGCTGTAGGTAGCTGTCACCCCAGCACCAACGTAGCCGTTCTGGTGGTGCTGAGATGGGCCAGCCTGACACTGCCTATACCCTATATTTGCAGAAACGTGTCACCTGCAGGCCTTTGGGGGCTTGTCTGCAGCCTGAGTATGTCACACCACACCACGTAAACCACCAGGCAAAGTCTGACCTGGCAATGAGCAGTGCACAGGATCCTGTCCTGCCCTTTGCCATGAGGTTAAATGGAAGGGAAAACCAACCCAGCGTGTCTTTTGGTTTGAAAACTCAGAGGAGATGCGGCTGGAAAGCCTGGCATTCACACAGCTTTTCCTTTTTTCCAGGCGACCTGGTGTCTCGAGCAATGCACCACCTCCAGCCCCTCAATGCCAAGCAGCATGGGAATGGGACGCCAATGCACCAGAAGCAGGGCTCACTGTACTGGGAGCCAGAGGCTCTGTACACCCTCTGCTACTTCATGCACTGTCCGCAGATGGAGTGGGAAAACCCTAATGTGGAGCCGTCAAAAGTCACGCTGCAGACTGAGAGGTAAGAGCCACTGCATGGTGCTTAATGTCATGGCGAAGACATTTCGTTAATAAATCAGCCTGCCTGGCTAATTGCTAATTACAGCTTGTGCATGAGAGGCTTCGGAGCAGTCTGGTTTGGTTTAGGATCACCTCTTTGAAATCCATTTCTCTCGCTGAAGCGCTGCGTGGCTGACCCAATATATATCAAAAGTGACACCCAGTGGCTACATACAGCAAATTGGTTCCAGATGTGCACTCGGGAGAGATTTCCTTTTCCTTTCGTTGTTGCTCAGCTATTCTGTGTTTTGGAAAAGAAAATGAGAACTTCTATTTCTGGCCTAGCAGGTTTGGGTTTAAATGTGATTTTTCTGTGCATTAATAGGGCTCAACAGCTGTGGCTGGGGAAGTGGAAAATGAATAGAATAGCGCGTAGAAAGGAGAGGTTGTTAAATATACTGGGCTCCAGCCGTGCCGAGTACCTGGGTGCAGGAGTAACCTCGGGGCTGCCCCAGCCAGGGACACTGCAGGCTCTGGCTGTGCTCTGGGGCTGGCCAGGGCAGGTGAGGCATGCCTGAGGCCCCATCCCGACTCAGGGTCTGCCGTAAGGTGAGAAGGAGACACTGGTGAAGCTGGTGATGGGGTTACCGAATGCTGGCAGGCGGGCATGGTGTCCAGTACAGGGCAGCTCTGCAGCCAGGCACTGCAGAAAGCGACCAGGACAGCTTGCTGGTCAAGAAAATAAAGCCATCTCCTGTCAGGAGCCCAGAAAACCCTCTAGTAACGCAAGCTTCCACTTGTGTGCTGAGGCAGGCTGTGCTATTTCCCTGCTGCGCTTCTCACCAGCCCTAAACCAGACTTCCCCAGTACGGAGACGAGAGGAGTGGCTGGTGCTTAGAAAGTGCTGGGTATTCATTTTTAGGATGGGTATCACGATGATGCAAATGCAAGCTGCTTTTTCAGGCTGGGCTCCACATTTACATCCCGATGTATATATCACGCTGTACATGTGAGCCAAACTCTGATTTGCACGTGTGCACCAGGAGCCGCGCATATGGGGCTCAGTTATTGTTTCAGTATGAGGTCTGCATCTCAAAAGCAGCATTTGAGCATCTCATTGTATGTGTAATCGTAAATGGTATATAATGTGTTGTCTTCATTGAAATACTTTTGTATCGATTCACAGAAAAGAGTACAAGATGAGACTCTGGCATTAATGATGTTACTGGGAATTTTGCCATTTGCCTTTGGATGGCATTTTGTTTCTTTTCAAGTTTGGGTCGCTCTGTGAGCATGTTTGTCGCTTTTTGCTCTATTGTTTCCAAAGTGTGGAAAAAAAACAGAAGGAAAATTACAAGAATGCAGAATTTTCTCATTTTTCTAAATTATTTTTAATTCCCAATTTAATTTGTCATCCAGCTTTGTTATTGTGGAAGGCCTAACTTGGGTCCAAGACTGGTTTAGTATGCACAAAAAAACCCCAAAATTAGAAAATACCTTCACCTGATCTGTAGTCTCCATCTGTGGGAGTAATGCCACTGGAACCAGTGGGAATATAAAAGCGAATAATGCTGAGGCTCTGATTTTGTAAGATTTCTGCAGACTTCCCTGTGGAAAGTGAAAAGGGCAGGAATATTTGAAAAATCGCGTTTAGCATTTACTTTAATAGGTTTTCCTTTCCCTGAGGTCACCTTAATACATGTTCTCTTCATTAGAGCACTTGAAACGCTGGTTATTTAAAGCGATTGTTCTTCTTTGCTTTATTTTGAATACTCTTGTCGGGCAAGACGTCTTCCTTTGGCAGGACAGTTTAACAACTGCGGTGTGCGGTTAGGGCCAGAGCAAGTACTCGGTGTTATTGCCAAGAGGTTGTGGTCACTTTTGGAAGGAGCAGATAGTCCTGTTGCCTAATCAAACATGCGTTAGTACTTAGAGCTGGAGTGGGAGCGATGCAGGGTTAAGCATGAGCCGGGATATTTCCATGGGGTTGTGCTCTGGAGCTTCATCAGCTGGGCGCAACCGTCCTGTGCTGCCTGGAGAAGAGATGGGTGAAGCTTACTTTTCCTTAGTGCTCTGAGGACCCTTCCTACCTATTTCACATCTCTTTTTCTTACATGCAAGCACGCTTTGTGGTCCATGACTTATTTCTGGTGGTTTCAGTTTCCATGATGGGTTTTTGTGTGTTCTAGGGAAGTGGATTTGTTAAACATGACATTTTTGCATGCAGAATATTTGCAAGCTTTGTGCCATATTTGTGTGGTGTCTTCCCTCTCTGCTTCTCCAGCTGTGGCAATTGCTTTTATGTTGGAAGAAGCCCAGAAGGAAGCAAGGAGGTCCAGGCATCTTTCCCCGTCCTTGGACTCTCTGTGTCCCTGCTGGTGCAGAGAAGCCAGGACTGCGTCGATCTGGCTGTAGGCAGTATTTCCATGAAATGGAGGCTGCCCTTGGCTCATGTGAAGCCAGTTTGGCTACTGTCTTGGCCCCCTCCTCCCTGACTGTGGCATGCTCAGGGTGGAGAGGGTTGCAGGATGCAGCCAGAGAGCTCCCGCAGCGCTTGCAGGGCTCGGTGGCCCCATGAGAGCTGCTCCCATCCTTCCCACCCATCTCCAGCCCACCTGGATTTTGGCTGTGAGCCAGGTTGAGTTAGGGACCTGCAAAGGCTCTGCATATCCTTCTGCAGAGGCTGGATACGGGAGGGAAGTTGATATGGTGGCAGTCCTGCCTGGCTTAGCATGTCCCAGCACAGAAAGCGGTACCTCCCTCAAAGTCTTGGGGGACACATAAAATGGGATATTTACCTTTGAATAAATCTGGTGCTTTGTTTCTAGGGAGTGTTTCTCTGTGTTTGCTCTTCATGGAGGTAAAGAAATGAGAATGCGGTGTGTTTTTAATAGTGTTTGTCTTTACATTAAAATAAAAGGGAAAAGTGATTATACAGTGAAGCTCCTGCTTTCGTGGGAGGGGGAGGAGGTGGACAGTGGCCAGGATTTCTCAGAAAACCTGGGAAAGTTTCCACACTTCCTAAATGCCACCAAATGCAACTGTAAGATGGATGCGTGACCCCTTCCCACCCCAAATTCATATTCTTCTTTCAAGCTGGTCACTTTGGAAGAAACCCTCTGATTTTTTGGCTGTGTTGCTGGCACCAGCACAAGCCAGTCATGCTGAGGTGGGTTATATAATGGCCTCGGATGCCATGTAGACAGCTATTTTAGCAGGCATGGACATACAGGGGGTCAGTGGATGGTGGACCTGTTTGTGGGGTCCCCCTTCCCTAATGCACCCAGCTGGGGACCCAGTGGAGACATTTGTCTTGTGCCATGTATTGCCTGTGAAACCAGTGTTCCTCTGATGCCTCCACCTGTGGGCAGCTGTGGATTATTTAGGTTTGTTCATTCTTATGCTTTCCCAGGAATTAAAAAAAAAAAAGGAAAGAAGGAATTGTAGATGAGGGCACTGTTGCCAAGAATTTTTTCTTGCTTGCTGCTTCTGGTTTAATAAAAGGATCTGTCCCGTGGCTGTGTTTTGCTTCTCAGCCTCTCTAACACTTCCAAAATTATTGCAAGTAATTTCTTGAGCACCGGAAAGCACAGAATCTGTAGTTGCAGATTTGTTTGATGGTTTTTTCTTTAAGTGGTTCCTTACCCGCTTTTATCCACAGCTGTATTGACAAATTCCTCATTACTTCCTAACTCTCCATGTTCCCCATTAACAACTCATTGAGAAGCAGCGGCTCAGCAGCTCAGCCTGTCCAGAACAACCCATTAATTCTGCTCACTGGCAGCAAAGTTCCTTCTCCAGCATTTCTTCTGCTGCTCTGCCTTGGAGGAGCATTAACTCCCCTTACCACCCGGCAGCCTTTAGCTTTTCCCCTCGGGTCTTAATTGAGTTGATGGATACGTGTCTGGTTTTAACCATCTTTTCACTTTTCCTTCACTACTTTCCCCTGCATGCGGAGCAGTCCCTTAGGAAATTCCCATGGGCTATTGCTTGCTTTTTATTTTTTTCTACCTGCCTTGCACGCACACGTGGACACACAGACAAAAATATGCATGTACCCTGCACATGCACACATGTACAAATTGTAGTCTAGAGTCGTTCGTGATTAAAGGAGAGGATTATCGTCTGAATTTTGGTACATGCTTTGGATAGTTATTAGTGTGCCTGGCTGATCAGTGTGATGCAGCCCCCTTAATGAGAGAGTGTTCCACTGCTATAAAATAACTTGAACTCTTTCAAAGCACTTTCATGTCTGTAGTACAGATAATACCCATTGAACAATTTCAGTAAGAGTATAACTAGAGAAATGTGTCCCTGATTTAAATTGTATGTGGTACAAACTCCATGGGTAGGGCAGTCTCCAGCAAAGGACAGCAGAGAGTGGAGGGAATGATGGGGAGTGCTCATGAAGAACAGGTGAAGCACTAGCACTGAGAGTGTCGAAGTCCAGCTACGAAACCTGAATGAACCTTGTAACAGAAGAAGGGATTACACATGCTTGATGTTTCAGTATGGCATAGCTCTGTTATGACCCTATATATTTTTATCCACTATTTAATTGGAAACTTCATGTAGTAAAACTGTGGCCTTGCTGAACTCAGAGTTAACATCAGGGTTGATTTGACTGGGAACCACTGAAAAGAAATCTCAGATGCATTCTTGCATAAATCCTCTAGGTTTGCGTTCTAAATATTAAACTTCCCACTTTTAAAAAATCCCTTCAGAAATGGTATTGGCAGCTGCCAGAAGCATGTGAGATTGCACATTACAAGAAATAGTTCAGGCAGTATTCGTAGCTGAGCTGTCAGACGGTATATCCTTGCTGGGCTGGATCTGTATTCTACACCTAATTTATCAAGCTAGGCTTACGCTGTCCGTGGAATGGCTGTATGGTTTTTTTTAATAGAGAAAATTGTGTGCAGCACTGCGAGAACAGCGCGTTACCTGCACTGTTCCGTGCCGCACTCCCAATGCTGGTGTCTCTTCAGAGATTTATGCCACAGCCAGTCATGTCAAATCTGA